GGGACCCTTCATACCCCTGTGTCAGTCTCCTGGGATGTATTATTCATGCATTTGTTCATTCACTCAGCACAGATTTATTGAGCACTTTCCACGTGCCAGGCGCTGGGAACATGACGGTGAACAAAGTGGGCGGCAGCCTGTCCTGGAGCTGACGTCTAGTGGGGAGACAGACAACGAAGGGAAAAGCAGACAGATGTCGGAAGTCGGGTCGGGCAGGGACACGAGCCATTGAAGGATGTCAGTGAGAGAAGACGCCTGGATGGAGTGTGAGTCCCTGGCCCTGGGCACATCCAGACCGGTGACAGCCGATCCAAACACCAGGACGGACTGAGTAGGAACTGAAGATCTGAGCTGGTCTTGGGGCTGCAGCCAGATGGTGCCTCTGGGATGCAGGGGGGGATGGTGGGGTCCCAGCCAGGCCACTGGCTGAGTGAAAGGGCCCCAACTCAGGAGACGGCCAGGAGGGGTACAGGAAAGGTGGGCGCAGGTTCTGTTCCCAGTAGGGGTGGGGTGAGAAGGACAGGAAGTGACGTAAACTAGGGATGTTTTAAGTGGAAGGATCCTTAGCTGGACCCTCCCCCCTTTCCCAGCTGAGCGGTGATTCTATCTGCTCCGGACTCTGTCCTGCTTTTGTCTCTGACAGCATTCGTCTCCTGGGCCCACTGAAGCAAATGACCACGAACTGGGCAGTTGGACAACAGAAATGTATCCTCTCCCAGTTCTGGAGGCCAGAAGTCCAAAGTCAAGGTGTCGACAAGGCTCTGAAGCACTAGGAGGGGAGACTCTGTCCCATGCATGCCTTTCTCTTTAGCGCCTGGTGTTGCCAGAGGTCATGGCAGTCCTGATAGGTGCATCACTCCACCCTCTGTCACGTGGCATTCTCCTCGTATGTCCCTGTGTCTTCTCTGGCCATCATATAAGGACAGCAGCCATTGGAGTAGGCCCCATACTAATCCAATATGACTTCATCTTAAATGATCATATTACAAAAACTTTTTTCCAAATAAGGTCACAAGCACGGGTACCGGGGGTTAGGATCTGAACATATTTAGGGGAAAACACAGTCCAACGCGCAACAAGTGCTCACACCCAGGCACCATCTCGGACAAGGACTGACCTTCCAGAGCAGGGTCCTGAGTCCAGGCTCTCCCCATAGGGACAGTGACAAAGCCTGTGAGGTGGGACTTAGCACTCAGACATCTCCTGAGTGAGCTGTGTCAGTCAGGCAAGTGTGGGTGGTGGGCGGTGGGCAGGGGGACAGGGCCTTTTCCACCTGCCATACCTAGAGCTGCGAGCCTGGCTCACTGTCCTCAGCCTGCACGCCGGGCAGCAGCGGCCACTGGGCCGTGACTCTGAGCAGCCCGGCCTGTGTCCCACACCTGTTCTTTTTCCTGTCTTTCTCCCAACCCCCCCCCCCCCAGTGCAGTGAGCGCTGCTATGATGAAGGGGCTGGGGCTTTAGAGGCAGGAGCACCAGCCCAAGGTCACAAGGGGTGGGATCTGCCTCTGTGCCCACCTCCCAATGCCCCATGCCACGTGGACTGAGGGAAGCGAGGGAAGGCTCCCATCCAGGCCATGCTGGCCCCTTCAGCCGCAGTCATCAAGCTGTATATGCACCACCGGGAACGCTTTTGGTTGTCATCATGGAAAACCCAGCTCACAGTGGCTTAAACACTGCAGGTTTTTGGCATTGGTTTAGCACAACTTTTCTCAATCTCAGCACTGCGGACATTTGGGACCAGATAATTCCTTGTCGTGGAGGGATGTCCTCTGCACTTTAGGGTATTGAGCAGCTTCCCTGGCCTCCACATCCTAGATGCCAGTAGCATTATTTCCCTCAAGTTAGGACAACCAAAAATGTCTCCAAACGTTGCCAAACGGCCCCCGAGTTTAGTGGTATCAGGGCTGGTAGTCTGTGAGTGTCTTGGACTTTGCCTCGTTCGTCGTCACAAGATGGCTGCCACAACATCCCACCAACGTTCCGAGCAGAAAGAGCGATGAAGGCCTAATAGCAGCAGCAGCTGTCTCTTTTAGCAGAAAAGCAGAAGCTTCCACAGAAGCCCAACAGATTTCCACGGAGGTCTCACTTTACTGAGCCTCTCTGAGGTCCCACCTGCCCAGCCCTCAAAGTGGCGAGACAAAGCCGCCTTCAAGGCTGTGGGCCGGACAAAACCGGATCATGGGTCAGCCAGCCATTTCCTGGCCCTTGGTGACCTTGAGTCCACTCTGAGCCTCAGTCCCCTCCCTCTGAAAACTGGGCTGATAGAATCTTTCTAGGACGTAGGCAGTTTAGGGGTGAAATCGGCTAATTTATGTGAGTAATCCAGCCAAGGACCTGGGCCCAAAGGGGCACTCCAAGGTGACTGGCGCTTATTTTATTAGTGGCATGTGAGGGTTAACCACATAAAAGTGCCCCGCACTAAAAAATATTCGGTACAATGTTGGTGGCCGTATCTTCCCCCTTGGAGCCTTCGTCTTTTCTGTTCCCTCGGCTGTTCCCTACACGCACGTGGCTCTGGCTCTCACCAATCCCCAGAGGCCTTCCCTGCCACTCAAGTACACACCTGTCACTCTTCGCCCTCTCTCGGCCCCGCTTTGCTCCCTTCTCAGCAACTGCCTAGAAAATGTACCTACATATAATATTCATTGTTGCTCTACTCCTCCTAAAGGTAAGCTCCTGGCAGGAAGCTGAGAGGCACGTTTGTTTCCTACCTGCAGTATCCCCGGGGCCTAGCACCCGGCCTGCCACCTGATGGGGCATTACATTAATAAGTACGTGTTGGGTGAATGGCTGTCAGGCAGAAGTTGGTGACACGTGGGGACGTGGTGCCACCACACAGGCAGAGAGGTTTGGCGATGCAGAAACTGAAAGGATCAGGGAATGAACCAGTGAACGAACTCGAACCTGGGCATCCGCTTTTTAAGATATGTCCACCCCCATCCCCACACCCCAGCCTTCCGGGCTGGGCAGGAGCGCGAGGTGCACGCAGCAAGCCTGCCCGCCCCGGGGTGAACCAACGCCCGGCCCGAGTCTACGGCTTCCCCCTTTTCTGACCCTGAGTCCCCGTCCTGGGAGGCCACCCTGGTCGGGACCCTTCGGGATTCTTCGTGCTCCCGTGCCCCCAGGGCGCCAGCACGTGCTGCGCAGACACCCTCCGCCGGCTTGCAGCCACGCTCCCCTGGGCATTCCTCCCCGCGCGGCCGCTTCGCCCGGGGGGAAGGGGAGGGGGGAGGCGCGGGCGGGGCCGGCGCGGGCGGCGCTGGGATTTGAAGTTCGGAAGCTTTGGCCGACTGCGCCCTCGGGCGTGTGCCAGTGCGGCACCGCCCCTGCCCCAGCCCCTCCTGTCCACGGCTGGGGACAGCCTCAGAGAGGCCCCGTCTGTCACAAAAGGGGGAACTGAGGCCCGGTGAAAGCACATAGCTTACCCAAGATGACGCGGCCGAGCAGTGGGCGCCTTCCCTGGCCCAACAAGTGGTCACACTTTAATCCAAGTTTTCAAAGGGCGCTCTGAGGGTCCCCTGTCTGGTTGAGAGTTCTCTTCCTTTCCTTCATTCCATCTTGCGTTAACTCAACAAACGTTACCTGAGGCCCTTTTGCACGCCAGGAGATGTGACAAAGGCCCAAAGGCAGGATTGTGTCTGGCAACTTGGAGGGACAGCGAGTGACAAGAGGAGAAAATGAGGTGAGACAGAAAAGTGTGTCCTCAGTAGGTCCTCTGAAGACTTGGGGTCCCATACCCAGCGTGAGGAGGCTAGGGCGGAGATTTGGGGAAGGAAGGATCATACTTCAGTGGCTGCCCGGTCGAGAGTGGGGTCATGGAGTCCAGGGGCTTGAGGCAGGTTCTTCGGACCTGGGGTCAAATGCAGCCCCACAGACAGAAGGTGCTGGATAAACATCTGAATGGCTAGTGAACACTTTGCCTGCCTCCCTGTCCCCGTCAATCCACCAGGTGCCACTCCAGTCCCTGCAGACCCAGCCTGTGTCCCATTGTCCTGAGAAGAGGCCATAGGGTTGGGGCCAGGAGTGACCCTACTGAGAGCTGCAGCTCCCCATTGCACAGGGCGTCACAACCACAGTGCCTAGACCTGCGGAGGGTTGGAGGCCCCCAGAGCCGGGTTTGACACCATGGTGTAGCCCACCTGGAGGGGAGGCTGGTGCCAGGGCCAGGTTGGAGGGCAGAGCCTGTGCAGTCCCAGGGCCTGGTGCTCAGAAAGGCCCCACGCTGGTTCAGGGCTTTCCTGTCATGGACATTCCTGACTTTGAACAAGGAGCCCTGGAAATTCTGCAGTGGGTCTTTCCTGGTGTGACAGTCACAGAAGCCTGGAGATGGGCCTGTTCCTATGGTCGGGGACAAATGGACAGTCCTCTGTTTGCTTTCTAGTCGTGGTCCGCAGATGGAGGAATCCCTGACACCAGCTGTGGTTGGAGATAGACTTTGGAAGAGGCCAGAACTACTTCCCACGCCCAGTCACCTTCTCAGGGGTGCCTCGGGGATAATCTGTGTATTTCTTTCGGGATTATATACTATATATTTACTTATTGAGTTGTCTTATTCATAGAAGCTCCATGGCGCTAGAGTGTGTCCTGTGTATCCCTGCAGTCCCCACGCTCTGATAAATATCTGTCCAACGAATTATATCTTTAGATAAAACAAAAATCATTTCATCTTTAATATACTGGCACTGGAGTAAATGTTAACTCAATAAACATGATCTAATAATCGTTTACATCTGATTCATTAGAGTCTGCGCTTCACGCTTCACGAGGACAGCGGCCTGGAACCCGGCGGGCATGTAGCAAGACCTCAGGAAAAATCGGGGTGCGCTCCAGCGCCCGGCGCCCGGGGCGCGGTCCGGACTACGTTTCCCGACGGTCCCCGCGCGCCCAGGGCGGGGCGGGGGCGGGGTCAAAGAGAGCTGGGGGGCGGAGCCGGCTACAAAGCCCGGGGGCGGGCGCCGGGGTTCAGAGTGCCCGCAGCGCCGGCCGGAGCGCAACGCAGTTCAGCGCGGCGTGCACGGCGGGAGCGGCTCGCGAGTGGACGGGCCCGGCGGTTGGTCCGGCGCCTCTGCTGTCCCGCTCGCTCCCCGCCGCCCCCCATGAGAGCAGCCCCGCGCGGTCGGGGTCCGTAGGCGGTGGGGCGCCCCCCATGCTGCTGCAGCCCGCGCCGTGCGCCCCGAGCGCGGGCTTCTCGCGGCTCCCGGCCGCCTCCGGCGCCATGCACGGCTCGCAGAAGGACACCACGTTCACTAAGATCTTCGTGGGCGGCCTGCCCTACCACACCACCGACGCCTCGCTCAGGAAGTACTTCGAGGGCTTCGGGGACATCGAGGAGGCCGTGGTCATCACCGACCGTCAGACGGGCAAGTCCCGCGGCTACGGCTTCGTAAGTGGCCCCGCGGCCGGGCGCACACCCCAACCTGCACTTATCTTGACCCGGAGCGCTGAGTCAACCGGCGGGCGCACGCCCAGCCGCCTCGGGGCCACCCGGGGCGCCTCCGGCCGGCGCCGGCACCTGCTGCCCCCTCTCGGGCTCCGGGGGTGGCGGTTCTTGCTCCAGCCGGTCCCGCCCCCGCTCCCCTCGCCCGGGTCTTCCTGCCCTCACTCCATGCCGGGCTTAAAAGGGAGATCCGCTCGCTGTGTGCGTGCCATCACAACTCCTCCAAGTTTTGTGGAGAGGTTCTGGGGACAGACGACGTTCTGGAGCAACAAGCTAAGTAGCAGAGTCTTCAAACCTGGGCGCTTTGGAGCCCGTAGCACCCCTCCCTCCGTATTTTCCAACAGCCCCCTCAGCCGCCACAGATAAATATCAATTTAAGTAAAAATCGGCTTGAAAACAGCTTCTTCTAACTACAGCCTCTTCTAACCCTTGCCATGAGGGAAGCCACAGACACCCCCCCCCACTGGCGGGCAGGCCAGACTGGGGCCCCTGCCTCTCTTGGGGGTGCCCATTTCCCCTGGGGATTGTTTCTGTCCTTGAAGGCAAGGCTTCCCAGAACTTCAACTTGGAGGGAGGAGCTGGGATCCAGGGGGCAGCTCGTGGGAGGGCCCCGGGTGGGGAGAAGGAGCCGGGGCCTCGGCGTAGCGCGCTGCTCCCCCACCCCCGCCCCTGCGAGGAGCGCCCCTGATGTGTCTGTGCTCCTCCAGGTGACTATGGCTGACCGGGCGGCAGCTGAGAGGGCGTGCAAAGACCCTAACCCCAACATTGATGGCCGCAAAGCCAACGTGAACCTGGCCTATCTAGGCGCCAAGCCGAGAAGCCTCCATGCGGGTAAGAGCCTGTTTCCCTCCCTGGCTCTTCTGGGCCGCTGCATCCAGCGTTGGTATCTGCCTCCTGGAAAAGCGTCCTCCCGCCTCCGCCCCCGCCCCAGCAGTGGCCGCTGGCTGTCATGTGCTTACAGAGCCGGCACAGGCAGCAATCCCTTAGCTTGGGAGCTGGACCCCCTTCTAGCCGCGTGCACCAGGGCCACAGGGTGAGGAGGGCGTGTTGGGCAGTTGTCAGCTGTCCTCAGGGAGGACGTTGGTCCCTGGGACCTGAGGTCTGGAGGAGGAAAGCATAGAGGCCGCGGCCCTCGGGGTCCCTTGGCCTGCTCAGCTGGGAGCTTTGAGGGGGTGGCCAGGGAGGGGAGAGGAAGTGGTTTGTCCCTTGTGGCTAGAGCTGTGTGGCTGTGGTTCTTCCCCAGGTGAGGCCGAGCCCCTAATGAGTCTCTCATTGTAGGTTTTGCCATCGGCGTACAGCAGCTGCACCCCACCTTGATCCAGCGGACATATGGGTGAGTGGAGTGGTTGGCTGGGAGTAGGGTGGGGGCTTCCTGGGTCTCCCAGTGGAGGTGCCCATTCGTCCAAGGGAGCTTTCACCCCGATCCTCCAACCCCACAGCCTTGGCTGTGCGCTTTGCGGCCACCTTTCTGTGTCAGAGAAACGTCACTTTCTCCAGCCTTTCAGAGACGTGATTGCGTGGTGGGGG